TATTTGGTCCGAGACTCTCAATTCCGCTTCTAGAAAAATAATTACCTCATATGGATTCAATAGGTGGAAGGATTAATCCTCGTCCAAAAGATGCACAAATTTGTTGTGAGCCCTCAAATCATTTTGGAATTTAAGACGAATCAAGGCCAATTACAAAACAATGTCTCATAAGTGTACGAAGCATGAATTTTCCAAGATCATGCATTATTTGTATGGCTTCTATCCACAATCTCAGAATTAGTGCTATGTAGGGTTTTATCTTGTAAACATTCATATGAAATTTTGGATACAATCCACAAGTACTTAAATACACAAAGGAAAGCTAAAGTTCGTCAATTGACTGTAGAACCAAAGTCAACCAAGAAAGGTATTCGCTCAATCACATAACTTGTGTTAATAATTAAAGTTATTGCAAATTCTCTGCTCACAAATGGAGGTTCAATTTCCTAACACGATCAAATTGACTCCATACTTGATGCCCTATCTTAATAATACAATTTGTTTGTTATCTAAATGTATGGTGGCACAAAGCCAGACAGTCTTTGTGATGTAGAAGGTCTTCTTTATGTCAAAGAAGCTCATCTCGACAAGCTAATACCAAAATTTGCAATTACACCTATGTATACAAACATGCCTCTTGTAAATCTTGAAGCAAACATATCTCACATGGAAACTTCACCAGCTTTCGAGGTAGAGGTCATTTTTATTGAGGTAGAGGTCGTGGAATGGGGCATTTTACTCTTAGAAATATACCTACTTGGCAACTTTGTTGAAAACTTGGTCACTCTGCAACTAGTTGTTGGCACATATATGATGAAGCCTTTAATCCTCATATTTTTCAATCAAGACCAGCTAGAAATCCACATGAAAAAGACAATAAACATGAAGGCTCCAAATCATAATCAATACCCTTTGTGGTTGCAATGTCTCATAGTTAGCGGATTAATTATTTAAATTGCACAAACACTTCACGGAGTACTTACCTCATCAAGAAAGTCACATTAGTAGTATGTACTACTTCTTCTTCACTTATTCCTCGGTCGACTATGTAGTCGATGGATGACATCCTCCTTTTCTTATATCCAATGAGGGCGCTCATCCATCACAGGTTTAGTTTGTGTACCTTTAACCGACGGGCGATACTTGGCAGTTAACATCTTCATAACTGCCATTCACACACGACCATAAAGGCTTAACCGTCACTGGGTGTTACTCAAGCTGCATTATATGAATGGTCGACTGAGTAGTATATCTTTTTGAGGTAGACGTCGTTCTACATACTCCTTTAAAATTCAGTCATAAATGTACTCGTAAGGGATGTATAAATTTTTATCCCCCGAGATTTGGATGAATTTGCTCACTCCAATATTGTTGTCGAATGGGGATGAGATTTCTTAAGAGCCTTTCCACTAAGCCCATTTCTAATCCGTGTGGGCCGAGCTTGGTTTCCATCTCTGCAGTACCGCCTCCAAGTGAATTGGCAAAGCCGGGCGTTTAGCTTGATAAGATGGTCGAGCATAATCATCATGGGCGATGTTTTTCTACGATGTTATCAGAAGCCCGGGGAAACCTTCCTCTAACTTATTTTTATTGTTAAGGGTGTGATCTTCGTTATTGTGTTAGAGTGAGCTATCGAATTATCGAAGGTCAAAGGATCTCTGCTATTATGTATGTCCACATTCGACTGTGGATATTTAATTTCTCGATTGCGTCAAATCAGAAGTTATCATGTGGATTCCATCATCTAATAGGTATCTCATAAGCATTTCACCGATGGTGGTGACTGACAAAACCACCAGTAGCTCTGCACTCGATATTCCTTGCATTATCCAACCTCTCGAGTATCATAGTGCAACTCAATCTTTATTTCTCGAATCCTTGTCGTATAACTCAATCATCCGAAAGAGATGTTCTAATAGCAGATCGTCACCGAATTTCACGATGTTATAGATCCCAACAACGATGATCAAATGCAGTAAAAAAAATCAAAATACATAATAATATGTAGAATGATTTGCAACATTAATCACTATAATTAAAGGTAAATTTTTGTTCAGGATTCCATTTGCCTCATCTCGATATAGGAATCCTAGTACCATGTGGTTTCACTTATCGTTCGGAGATTAATTGCCATATGGAGCAAATACTCTGGTAGCGGATCTACATTGGAAGTTGTTAGTGTACAAATCTCATGATGACATATAATTGAGGCGATACGAAATATGAAGGTTGTTCGAGGATCTTCAGTGTGATATTGAAGGTCATTGTCTCCATTTCTCAGCGATTCTGGTAGGGATCCAGCCGTTTTGAATATAGAATGATCTATTCTTAGAATTTTCATGGGAATCAGAAGTCAATTCTGACAAACGACGTCGTTGTTTCGTTCTAGACCCAGAATTAGGTGTGTGTTGTCGGTGAAGAATCCTGAACTGGTGATGTTAATCTCTAATATTGTCGTACGACAACATACCTGCAAGATTAACACTCCAATACTCAAGTCAGTTCAAAATTCGAGATGAATATAATAAAAATGAAGATAAAAAAATATACATTAAATTTTTGTGTGATAACTTATATACCTTAGATCATTTTGAATAGTTTAAGTCTTAACTTTTGAGCCTTTGACGGCCTAGAATGGGTGATTTGATATTCATCCATTATTTAACAAATTATATTTTTAAAAGGTTGTGATTTGATTTTAATTTTTTTTATTAGAATTGTTAATGAATTAATAAATTTTTTTGATCCATCCAATAACAATACAATTCTTATATATCATATTATCCTATTTTACCATCTTTAACTGCGGCCAAAATTTTTTAATTATAGAAGCCCGAGTTTAAATATATGCTATTTTTATTTATTTTATAAAAGGTTAAGATTATTATTAATAAATATTTCTATTTATTTTTAGTATATCATGCAACCTCTTTCTTTTGCTATCTACATCTTATTCCTCTACTTATGCAACCACTTTCTTTCTTACTGGTTTAGTTACACATCAATGAGTTCAATTTCAATTTTGCTTACTTTCCTCACTCTTTATAGGCTGTCAATGGTAGTTGTAATCAGATGCATCACGAGACGTTAGATACATTTCCTTTTTACGAGTGATTCAAGCAAAAGAATACTTTAAAGAAAAATTAAATTTCCTTATACATATATATTTTTATATTGAAAACTAAATTATTTATGTCCCTACGTAACTTGGTGGGTATTGAAAACTGAAAAGAGAGGTTAGATTGTGAAGCTTTCCTTAACTAGTAAGTTGAACTTTGTGCTTCCCACGTAACTGAAAATATTCTTTTGACAAAAAATTAAATAAGCAATAGAAAGGCAAGTATATGAAAAGTTCAAATTGGGCTATCCTAGCTCTATTCCCATTATCTTTACTATTATTATTATTAAATTATAAACGGAAAGGATAAGCTTTTTGTAACTTATAGTAATAAATAAATGAATAACTAGAAAAAAATAATAAATGAATTTTAAAGAATACTTGAATAATATTTATCTAACCAAAAGAATTTAAATGACATGGTAACAGTTTTTTCAGCTTAATTAAAAGTATATAGTTTGACTCACATACCGAAAAATTGTTAAGATATAGTTGGGCCTAATTCAACCCTACAAAACCGGCTCTGATATCATGTTAAGATATAGTTGGGTCTAATTCAATCCTACAAAACTGACTTGTAGGGTGAGGATTGCCCTCACTTATAAACACATGTTCAGGCCATATATTGTCCGATGTGGGACTCTTAACAAAAATTGTTGATTTATACTTACACTGAAAAATCATAAACTCACACTATGATGTAAAAATTTCTTTAATAAATAATGTAAAATTTACAAGTATTTTTTATGCTTTGATCGCTATCTTAATTATAGTAAATTGCGTATAGAGTATACCAATTTATTAAAAAAAATTAATAATATTTGTCTTTGATTAGTTTAAGTAGGTGAATCTCTAGGCTAACTTTAATTCGTGGGTCCAACGATCATTTTCATCTTTGCATTTGCATCTTCATCATATTTTAAAAATTTCGATATTATCTTATTTGCATTTTCTGTCACACTCATCCCAACCCACATGTCAACCAAATTAAACTATACCTTTCTTAATTCAATTTATAACAACTTCTATCTTTTCATACAAACCCACTTTCCTAAAATTGTTCACCATTCAATGCTCTACTATTCCTTTTGTGTACATATTTCAATATTCGTTATCTTATCCAATAGTTAAATCATAAGTTTATTTGACAAAAAAATTATATTACAACTATAAGATGAGTCAAACTAGGGTTAATTATAATTTAATTACTTTAAGTGATGGCAAAAGAAACGTAAGTAGTTGAGTATACACAACCATCTCTTGAGTTTTAATACATGAATAATTAATCATAATTACTTTTATCTATATTTAAATCATTTTAAGAGAGTTGCACCACTAAACCAAATACTAAAACAGCTAGTAGGTGTTTTTTGAGGTGTAGAATTTATGTTTTTAACGTATTAAAAAATACTTAAATTTTTAAAAATTAATAACATTATATATAAATTCGAACTTAAAACCTTACAATTGTATAAATTTTCATATTTAACAAATTATTTAAATTAAAAATATAATAAAATCATCATTGAATGCAAAACCAAGTCTCATGGGTTTCATTTTCCTACATCATATTTTGTCTTTACAATGTTTCTCTTATTGTCTCTACAGTTTAGCTACAAAACAGAAAGGACAATTTTCTCACACACAAAAAGAGAACATCCTTTGTCTTTTGCCACCTTCAATTAATATCCACTCTCTCTCTCTCTTCTCTCACACACACAAACTCTTCTATAACCTATTCTTGCTTCAACCATATGCAAACACACAAGAATAACCTACGACCTAAGCTTTTCCCTTAATTATTCCTCTCCCACGTACCACAAAATTGTCTTCATCTTTTCATGTCGGTTTTTTTCTCTCAACGACGTAAAAACTATTAACCATGAGAGGAATAACATCTTGTTACAAAGAACATGCTATTAGAGTTTCTGATTTGTATTGTTCAAGACCTTCAAATTCAAATCATTCTTATCTTGTTCCAAAGCTCAATAACAATCCTTCAACCCAAAATTCAATTACTTGCATCTATAAACTCTCGATTCAAAAACAAGAACTTCTCATCACAGTAACATGGACCAAGAAACTCATTCGTCAAGGTTTCATCATAAACATTGATTCCGATTTTGTTAATGTTATCTCGAAAAACAGAGGAGCTGAAACGTTTCAGTTTCAAATCTTTGAAGTTAAACTCATATGGGATCTTTCTACAGCTAGATACGATGAAGGTCCAGAACCGGTTGAAGGATTTTACATCGTTGTTTTGGTGAATACTGAATTGGGTCTTTTCCTCGGAGACAAAGACAAAGAAGAATTATCATTACAAGAGAAGAAAACACACGGAGCGAGAATTACAATGGTTTCAAGAAGTGAAAGATTTTCTGGTACAAGTGTTTATGCAACAAAGGCAAAGTTTTCAGAAACGGGGATTTTACACGAGATAATGATAAAGTGCGGTGTTGAAGATGGATCAAAGAGTAACATATTGTGTTTGTTTATGGATAAGAAGATGGTGTTTCAAGTGAAGAGATTGAAGTGGAATTTTCGCGGGAATCAGACGATTTTCGTGGATGGTTTAGTTGTTGATATGATGTGGGATTTGCATGATTGGATTTTCAATTATCATAGTAATGAATCAGCTGTTTCTTGTGTTTTTATGTTTAGGACAAGAAGTGGTTTGGATAGTAGATTGTGGTTGGAAGAAGAGAAGAATTTGCAGAAACAGAAGGAACAACAAGATAGAATTGGATTTTCTTTGTTGATATATGGATGTAAGAAACCTGATTAATTTTTATCTTTTGGTGTGGGTTGGTTTAACTTTTTTATTGGAAGAAAAAAAAAACTGATAACATATGTCACATGATAACATAACATATGTTTTTGATTTATGATTTAATGTCTGTTATGAAAGAATGGGGTGCTAATTTTGAGGTAATTGTTGTAATTACTTGCACTGTTATGTAAATTATAACTTTTTCTTTTAATTTTACAAAAGCAATTTTACTTGAAGCTAGGTGTGTAGAAGTTTATTGGATATGTAAATTCTTTTTTATTTCTCTCTATCTTTCTCTGTGCGACCATCAATGTGTAAAACTTAGAAATGTCTCTCCATTTTCGTCTAAGTCCTTTATCCTCCTTTGCCACATTGTTGTGTGATTGTATAGTTTTATTGATAACATGTCAAATAGTTGTTATTTAAATTGTTATTTTTAGACAAAGTTGTTATTTAGTTTTAGGAATTGTTATTTTTAGACAAAGTTGTTACATGTAGTTTAGTTTTAGGAGTTTTTAGTATATTATATGTGTTTTTTTTTTTGTTTAGGACAAAAATAGAAACATAATGTTCCTATGGTGTTAGTCTCAAATCTCAGTTTAAAAAGCGGTGAAACCCAATAGAAAGCGTGAAGCTCAATAAAGACAAATATATGTATGATGGTATTCTCTCGTCTCAAATTACAAGACAATTTAAAAAAAAAATTTGTTCTAAATTATTAGTTACTTTACAATTCTAATGCAATATTAATATAATTTTTGTCGATATATCCTCTATTATTTATTACTTTTTTTTCTCATACATATTTAATTTTGCTTTTCAATGTAATTATTGAATGACATTTTTGTAAAGTAATAATTAAATTTCTTAATTAGTGTAAAATGCTCAAAATGTCTTATAATTTGGGACATGAGGAGTATTCACTAATGATATCAGGTCAAAGATATCTGAAGACCAAATATTAGTTTTATATCGGTTGTCCAAAAGAATGTTCTAAAACCTAGGGAGTAGGCATGTATTTGTCTTAGAAAAGGACCTGTTCTAGGTAGGCAATTAAAGTAGGGTCGTTAGATAATACAACAGTTATATTCTGACATCTGTCCATTTGAATGTTGATGATTGAAGCAAATATTATAAGTCTCTAGAAATCCTAATATAGTCATTATATAAGGGACTTTAGACATCAAATCAAAGTGCACACAATCCTCCTTACACTTTATACCTGTCATATTTGACAATCAATAAATTGAGTGTCAAAGTGTTTGCACGTACCACCCCTCCTCCATCAAATCAATATAACATAACAAACAAGATTTCTAGAGTCAAGACTACAAATACCTCACATATCCATCTACAAAAAAATCTTCCTTGCTGGAAGGAACATTGGCGAAGTTTGTGGGAACGAAAGATAACATGCTAACAACTTTCTCAAACATCGAGAAATGACAAATTGAGGAAAAAGAGAAACCTGCAACCCGTGGCTAGTGAGGTTAATAGAAGGAGCCTACAACATATGGTTAGTGAAGTTGTCAGAAGGAGCCCTCACCAGGACGAAGGACTCACCACTTTATTATCTAACCCATGAAGTCATATCAAACCATCTCCTATAGTCAAGGTGTTTGTATCCCCTCTTTTGGATGGTGAAATTTAGACACAACTGAAGGAAACCATAGATTTTCCTTAAGAAATAAACAACGGAGGACCTCGTGACCAATTTTCGAGGGGCAAGCAGCAAACGGTGAAATAAACACTCTGCTGATGAACTTACTTGTAGCGGTCAACAAATGATCTATGACTTAGGTGCTCCGAAACAAATAGTTTATGATAAGTTGAAGTTCTAAATCATAATCGTTTCTAATTTCATATACTTTAGGACGAGGAAGTCACAAACAGCAATGATGACTCATCATGACACTAGAGAGCCCATGGTCACCGGAGGCATAAAATTCAGATACCACCATCTTGAAGGCGTTCTCCTCCAAGGTCGTGGCAAGAAGGAACATGACCAAGGACCCAAGGTCGCCGACACTGAAATATTGTATATTCCTTACCTCTGGTGATTCTGAAAAGAAGGAAGAGATTCCTTTCCAAAATGCTTTCAGCAGAAGGATAAACGAGTACCCCATCAGGAAGGAACTCTAAAAATAGTTAAGAATATGAATTAACAATGAAGCAACCAATACAAACAAGCATGTAGAATTTGTCAACATTCTTCTGAATTTTTGAGGGGAAATGACCTTTGAAAAAACAAGTTATTTGTCCTTACTTTGAAATAAAGTTATTTGTTGGCTTGTAATGGCGTTATGTTAAAGGCTTATGCCCTGTTGCTGCCATATCTGACATTATGTTGAGAGATTATACCCTGTTGGTACCACATGCATTAAGTCAATGTTGATCTTATTGCGTTGCATTACTGTTGATTTGATGTTGTATTATGTAGATGATATTTGCGATGTAAAGTAGTGAGTGATATGTGAATTATATGAATGGTGTGAATTACTACTCCTTAGCATGTGATATTCATCTTATATTTATTAAATGTAATTCTCACCCCTTTTCTGTTGTTATGTATGTACTTCTCAGGGAGTACAGATAATCGGGTATCCAAGTAGTGCTTGGAGTGAGTATTGCTTGATCGAGTCTTAGGAGTCGCTCTGATACGTAACACGAAATTTAGGAACTTGTCATGTTTTTGCATTGTTTTATTCGTTATATATCTTAGTTTCTTACTTATGTTGAACCACACATTTTGTTGAGTTTTATTATTGTTAAGGCCTTAGTGCCATGGAAGTGAATAATTTGATTGTTCCATTGTTAAGTTGATTTTTATGAGAAATGAAGTAATAAAGTGACTTGAGACTTTATGAGCTTTTGAAAGATGTGACATCCTACTTGTGTACTCTGATATTTTTCCGTAGATTATAGAAAAAATAATTATGTGGGGAATGTGGGGTGTTACATGTGTGGTGTCTATACAATGCCACCAGTTAGTGGAATATAAAACATGTTAGTGAGTATATTTAAAAAAAACACAAAAGGTCTGAGGCAAGGCAAGGGGGATTAGAACCCCAGACCTCACACATCAAACATAAACCTCTGTAAGTGCAACTTCACTATTAGATGTTTTGAATAATGTCAAAACTCGAAAAGCTAGTATTTCAGTATTGGGGACGATATCCTCAAGTCTAATGGCACTCCCATGAATTAGAGGCCTTAGGAATAATTTGAAACAAGTTTAAAATTGCTCTTATTCGTGAAAAAACATTTTCTGCATTAATTTTTATTATATGTGTCGACACATAAGTATTTCAGGCCGACACATACTAAAGCTTTTAAGAAAATATAGAAATTCTGATTTTAGGTGTCGACACATATGAATTTCAGGTCGACACATGTACTGCATTTTTAAATCATGTAGCTTCTCACTTGCTTAGGTCGATACATGTAGTTAGAATATGACCTATGCGTCGATACATACAATTTTCAGGTCGACACACACTATTTGATTGGGTGAATTTCAATTCTTTTTAATTCCGAAAATCTCCTTTTTGCATCTAAACTTCCACAACTATAAATACATCATTCATGCATCAACCCAACTTGGTGAAACCATAAAATTAGCCTGCTTTTCTCTTCATCTTCAACGTCCAATCTATGCATACACACTGGCATTACATTGTGATGATGTTCTATTAGGGTTTCATCTAGACAAGGATTGATAGTATCTAATTGAGTATTGGATTGAGCTTTGTAGGTGTTTCATCCGGAAAAACTCTTTGTTAGGGTTTTCCCTCCAAGATCCATGTTGGTGTGGGGGTTTTGCGACAAGATCAGTCAAGAAGGAATTGTCCATGTGAATCACCTTGGAGTGTTTAAATTCTTTGCAAGGAACCTTGGAGTGTTTGAAATATTTGTAAGGTAGTAGCAATAAGTGACAAATAAAATTGAAGATCTGATATGGATAGAGTGCAATCGGATTTACTCGAGTGAAATCCCTTGGAGTGTTTGAAATCTTTGCAAGGATTCTTGGAGTGTTTAAAATATTTTCAAGGAAGTAGCTTAAGCGGTGAATTGGTTGCATCTATTAGTCTTGGTCTTGATCAAATATCAAAATAATAGAAGGGTTTGAATCAACAACAAGCATTAGGATTTATGGAGTTTCTCTTGAACACTTCTCTTGTATCAACTTTTTGCATAGTAATAATTATCCTAATTCCATTTGAATTAGGCACATACATACTCACACGTGAGGACGACAGTAGGAAACTTTGAAGAAAAATTCCTTGTGTCTCTTTTCTTTTATCGCTTTTACTTGCTTTAATAATCTTCAATAAAATTTTCAAATAGCATTGTGTTATCAGTTGAATTATAAGAAATTTTCCGAACTAATTTTTGACTTGCATTAAGTGTTGATATTACTCATATTCCCTTTTGATTATAAGTGCTTATGTGTATTAACACAACTTAAAGAAAAATTCTAAAAATTCACTTGCACACCAAGTATTTGACAAATTGTTTAGCTTGTTCAACTCAAAGGAAAATTGCAATATTCTATCACTTACTCTCATTTACTCTTTGTAAGTGCCTTCGTTTAGGATTGGCTCATTTCTTGTAAAACAAATAGTAACAACAATAATATAATGTAATGTACAATAAGAACAGCCTGAAAATCCTATTGTAAATGCCTAAACATGTTGTGTTGATTTAAATCAACATCTGGAACAACATGTCTCAAGAGATGTCATAACATCATACCAGACATCAAGCTACTGAACTGTCAAGTCTGATGCAGTTCTGTTCCTGAAGTTATGCAGAATATTATGCCAAATAGAATGCATAACAAGTAGCGAAAATTGAAGGCATACGTGGAGCCCTAGAAGATTCAATCAGAAGCTAAGGATAAGGAGAAAAGCTCGATTGAAGACCTAACTTATAGCAGAAGTTTTCTGCTTACTTTATGCAGGTCGTTAAAGCTGCATTGCTGTCATATGAAGGCCCAAATCCAGTTGGGTAAA